CTCCACGGCATTTTGGGATCCAAACTGTGGCTGGAGCCTGCTGGGAACATCCCAGAACAGGACTGTGCCTAATGGGAACTGGGCAACAGGTTGAAAAGGGAGTCATGGGAGAGTGGAAACAGCACAGCAAGCAGAGAAAAAAACCCAGAGTCCTGCTCCCCCCATGGGCTCCCATGTGCCATCTTCACCTCCCAGGTTTTGGGGTGGATGCTGTGGCAGGGCGGGGCAGGGCCAGGATGCTCTGCACCCCCAGCTCCTCAGCAAAGGGAGCGGGTGTTGGTGTGCCCAGCACCACGGCAGAGGGCCGGGCACTGCTGGCCCAGCTCAGTTCAGCTCTCCTGGCCTTTCTCCTGCTCTCCCCCGTCCCTGTTTCACACCCAAAACCAGGATCTGAGGAAATCAGTTTGCAAAACACGGGAAGTCAAAACTGAGGGGGAGGGGGTCAAGGAGCCCAGCCCCATCCCTGTGCCAGGGCTGCTCCCCCCAGACCATCCCTGTCCAGCTGCTGCAGAGTTCCTGGGGCATGGGGCAGGATCCTTTGCTCTGGGCTTGAGCAGTCCAGCTGCTGGTGGCCAAAATTCCAGGCTGAGAGCCTGGGACAGAGCAAAGCCTGTGCTGCCCAGAGCAGAGGGCAGAGCACAGCTCTGATAACATCACCACATTCCCTATTTCCACAGCAAATCCTGTATGCAGAGGAACAGCATCCTAACCCAGCTGGCCCTTCAAGTTCAATTCCCTCCCAGAACAGGAATAAAGAGCTGTCCTGCTCTATTAGGGATGCAAATATCCTGATTCACAGCTTGAAATTCCAAGGTGGATTTCTGACTTGCAGGAGGTTTGTGATCCCAGTTTGCCCAATGCTATTTACCCTGTACTCCAGCCCCAACCGCAGTCCCTGTTACCCACCCAGAGTCCCAGGTTTTCCCAGAGGGAATTTAGTCTCTAACCTGCAGGACAGACCTTTCATCCTGCAGCTTTCCAGCCTGTGTAATGGGGGATCTGCTGCAGCTCCAGCCAGGAAAACAGCCGGGAGCTGGCAGGCAGCCTGAGCCTGGGGAGGAGAAGCTGCAGCTGACAGGGAAGGCAGGAGGATCACCCGGAGGAGGAGCTCTGTCCTGGATCCAGAGGGAACTGCAGAAAGGGAAAATGCAAAACAAAGCACTTAGGAAGGCAGAATTCCTACTTTTTCCCCCCACAAAACTGCTAATTCACAGATCCTGTCAATAACTGGGATCACCAGGAGGAACAACCTGTTGGGGGCTGTGATGGGGCTACTCAAGAAGCTCAAGCTGTGTTGCCCCAGAGGCAACAAAGTGACTCCAGCAGAACCCAGCAAGCATCACCCACCATTTCAGCTGCAGAGTTCCAACCAGGAATGATAAATTTCTTGGAAAATACAGAAGACATCATCAAATTTTTGTGCAAATCGTGATGTGGCAAAAAGCTGCCTGGATCTGGATGCCCTGCACGAAGATGATACAAACCAACACAATGCCAGTGGAAGTTTCATGAAACTTTTTATTCAACAAGTATTTAATTATGATTCTGCCAAGATGATCGAATGAACAGCAAGGCATAAAAAACATGAAATAGTTAAGAGATTTTATTCTAATAGCTTTAATTACAGTGCTTGTTTGTCGAAATGAAAACTGAAAACAAGTATACAAAACAGTTGATTACTAGTTGTGTATTGAAAGCAATAAAGGTTTCCACAACACTAAATAAACCAGTTCTGATAGTTCCTCTAGTTAAAGTTTAACAGCTCCAGCTTCTTCAGTGTTTATCAAAATACAAAAGAAAAGTAAAGAGGTCTTTTTTTTATTTTTCTGATGGCAAATCTGAACCTTGCAGTATGAGGGATGCCAAGGGTTTTCACACATATACAGATATGGGATTGTTCCAAAATGGGATTGAATACTTGTAGAGTGGAATGACTCTCCAAACTCTCATGCTTTTTGTTTTTTTCCCTAGACACTATACATAGATGTTTGGTGTTTTTCATGGCAATTCTTACGTTAAGTACAGTACTTTCTGCCTATAGAGCTTAGGACTGGGACAGGCTGTGCTTCCTGTGGAAAGGTTTTGCCTTCTGGAGTGGTTTACGCACAAGAAAAGTATAAAACACTTTTTGACAAATATGACAGGCTAAAAATGTCGACTTCTGGAAATGATTCAAGTTCAATGGAAACAAGAAATCTCACCTGAACCAAAAGTCAGATGTTTAGCATGAGTCTGCAAAGCTCATCTAAACCAGGCCCAGCAAATCTTTGAACGGTTGTGAACGAAGATGAGCACAGACTACGAGCTACAGAAAGAGCCAGAGATCTACTACTTATGATCTGTTCGTTAAGCAGATGAAGCTAATTGGGTGTCAGTCATTGCTTCACCCTTTCAAAAGAATCAAGAGTCACCACGTTAGAGCTGGAGCAGCAGAAGCGATGTCAAACGTTTGTGTGTTTTAAGTGTTTTTACTTTTCCTTGTCTATTTAAAAAAATACAGAATTCAGGTTAAAAACCAACCACCAAAATGGATCTCACAGATCTCACAACCCAACCAAGATCGAATCCAGCTCTACTGCACAAGGACCACTGGCAACCCTTACGTTATTAACCCACTGAATTCCCTTCCAGGTACTAAACAGTGACTCGATTCTTTACAATAAAAAAGCTGAGTAATATTGCATAGGAGTACCAGAAACTGCCTCATTGGAAACAAAAACTATTTACATTAAATAAGAAACCTAACTGTTTTCAGGCTTGTATTTGCCACATTTACAGCATGATGCAATATATACTGTGACAAAAAGAAATGAAAACAGCTTCCGGCACTCAATACCACAAAGTAGCACAGTTTGCCACATTAGAGTAAAGCGAAGGGCGAATAGGAGGAAATAAGAGGGAGGGGTGGAAAAAGAGGGAGGAGGAAGGTTTATGGTTTCATTTCTGGTTTCGGAGCTGATTGGACAACCAGTCCAGTCCTTCATAGAGACCGTCTCCACTAGTGGCACAGGTTGCCTGGATGTACCAGTTCCTGTGACGAAGAGAATGCAGTCCAAGTTTGTCTGTGATTTCTGCTGCATTCATGGCGTTCGGCAGGTCCTGAGGGAAGCAACAACAGTCATTCCCCACTCCATCACCAGCTTTAAAGGCATTACAGCAAAGTTAAGAGCTCTCACAAGTTCTCTTTCAGAAAACCCCAGTGGATTACTTTGATATTCCAGCTATTTCCTCAACACTGACAAAAGCCTCCAAGGTTTAACAACCCAATCTAAATCAACATCATGGAATTCATATTCTGATACTGCTGATACTGCTCACAATTCCAAGTCTGTCTCCTGATACTCAGGAGTATCCTTTCTGTCACTGCAGGTATGATTTAAGATCAACTTTTATCACCCAATGCTACTCTGCTGAGCACAGCTTCTTTAGAGCCCACCTTTCCTGCTCCTGGACATGACTGATGGCACCTTCACCCTTTCCAGCTGAGGCTGTGCAGTCAGTGGAGCAGGATGTTATTCCCTCTCTTTACATTTCCTAGTCACGTTTCAGGCCCTTGACATTTGGGGTTAAGCTGCCAAGACTTCTACGAGCAATAAAAGGCAGAACTCTCAGCTAACTCTAGGGCCTGGGAGAGCCCAACTCACAGATCAATACAAGCACATTAAAACTCCAGTGCTTCCACCAACACCACCCTAAATGAGGAATTCAGGGAGGTTCTGGCATTCCAGCATTCCTCTCTGGAGGAACTTTGGGCAGGTGCTGTAATTGAGCTATGTCAACCTTAAAAATCAAACTGGTTTTCACTAAAACTGAAAATCTCTTAGCCAAGA